ACCAGAAACAAGCCAGTTTGAGGACTCTAAATGCAGGCAGCTGGAAACTGAGGTAGTGTTTTTTGCTAATGAACTTAGCTTGCAGCAAGGCATAGCAGTCCTTTAGCAATAAAGATATTGATACTAATAATGCTTTACATTTATTCCATTCATATGAAGGCTTCAAAGAACTTTATATCAATTGTTTTATCAGTTCATCCATTTTTACTATACACAGAGAGTATCGTGAAGGACAACTTCTCAACATGCAAAACTGCATGCAGTTTATGAGTAAGTACATAATACTAAAAGTTCCTTCCTTGAGGAAGAGACAGTGCAGACTGGAGACTCAACTTTAACCCATTTCACTTAGAAATACCACTGTAAGCCTAAGCTTGTACCAAGGGGCTCTGGACATTTAATTGCCCAAATTCAGAAGGTCTTGGCTCAGGCACCTTGATTTTGGTGCAGCATCTAATATGTGAGAAAATACTTGCCACTGACTTACCCATTAGCGATTCTATTTGGATTCCATTTCTCATGAACAATGATTTTTTGTGGTGAAATTGCAACTGATCCTTCTTCCTTAACGCCTAGGTTGTATTTTCCAAGATATACTCGATATGTCCTAGAAGAACTGGAGAAGAGAAAGACTAGAGATTATCCCTCAATTGTGTCACTACAAGGTTACTGCAAAGCCATCTACATCATTGCACCTGCAGTATTCAGTAAGAGCACTGAATAATACTACCCTTAAGAGTGTGGTCTCACATCCCGCATAGTCTGTCTGGAGCTGTGCAGTGTCTGAGGACAAAGCATCGCGTGCTGGACCCTGTCACCTCCAAGCAATCCTCTCAGTTCTTGCTTAATGGCTTATATCAAACTGAAGATGCCACAAGTCTTTGGAGCAGATAGCTGCTATTCTTTAAATAATTAAGCAAACTGAGATACCTTTTTGACAGCATGGTGTTTGCCCCCTAGCATCATCTGTGATAAACAGCTGTGAGATAAATATAATATTCAGCATTTACAATAGTAAGATGTAGCTAATTCTTGTTATTTCACATGATCTTTTCTTCAGCGTAGCAGTACCAAAAACTCTATGTGCATATTCAAGGTCATGTGCTACTGAACTGAAAAGGGGTTGCCGGTATGGAAACATTTTTGATGATGAAGGAGCATAGCTGTATGTTATCTTTTCCTAATTATATATTCCCACAATATGAGAATATAAAAGGGTTACTGAAAAGGACTGGTAAATTCAAAACACTTGTGATTATTTCTTCAGTGAATGGACTGAGTAATTGTCTTAGGTCTCACTGTCAAATGTACTATGAAAACAGGCAGCACAGCTGAATTTTAATAACAACGTGAAATACGATGATTTCATAGTCCTTTACAGAAAAAAAAAGTATATATAATTCAAGACATTGAGCTTTTAATTCCTTTACCTTTAAGAAAAGGAAAAGGCATACACCCTTTCTTGTGACCTCCTAGTTGTAACCAAAAGATAGGATATGAGACTTGCTGTTCTTAATTGGGAAAGGAAAAACTGGCATTAATATGTTTTTCTTCATCTTTCTCTGGTCATGCACTGCTTTCTACACACAGACAGTAACTCAATGCTTTACCTAATGCAATGTGCAGCTGTCAGCACCCAGTTGCTGGCAATGAGGGTTCCTCCGCAGGTATGATGCCAACTGCCACTTGAACTGTATTGGAGGGAGGCCTAGAATCAACGCAGTAAAAAGCTCAGGTTTTTGCTTCCTTATTTTTCATTGTTGCAGTTTCTTCCTGCACACTCAGATTTGCATTTTTGCAAGACGGTGGGAGACTTTTAAGCAACAAGAGTTTTCAACTCCTACCCTGGAAACAGTTTCCCCTCTTTCCCTGTCATCCAAAAGATTAATTTTAGTGTATTTTTTTCCAAAGCTTTCACTAAGCCCAGCCCAAATAGTGCCTAAATTATTTGTTAGCTCTGTATAGAGTATGCTCTAGTAGACATCATTTTCTCCATGGGGTTTAGTCTTTTTGTTTTAATATGGGACGGGAAACGTGAAAGCTCTGACGCTTGTACATAAGTAATGCCTAAATCAACTGCAAGAACAGGAAAACCTTCCTAACTCCACACCACATTCAGGCACCACATTCAGAGCTATCTTAAAAAAAAATTGAAGTGTTGCGATTGATTAGAATGTAATAATCAAAACCTAAGGCATGATAGATAGGCTGTCTTAAGTGAAATATAAAGGCTAGTTTTGTTTCATGTCATGGGAGAGTAACAGTGCAGAAATAACCAACCTGCCAGGGCCAGCTGAACGGTCTTGCATTTTCTCCTCCAACTACTCTAGACACTGCAGGTGGGTAGGCAGGAACCCCACAGCCAAGGGCTAGAAAACAGGCAAAATAGGACGCATTTTTGAAGCAGGAATTCTAATTTTAACAGTTTTCTTTTTTTATAATTTAGACTGCTTGCTTAGAGCATTGCAAGGTAGCAACGTAGCCTATGATTTGCTATGGTACAAAGTGAAGATACAACCATCAGCCAAGACTGGGCAGCATTATATAAATTTGTTCTGACAAATGATGAAATCACATTGGCTGAACCAAATTCTCATGTGTCAGATGAGATGCAGTTCTCTGTATATCACTGTATAAAAAATGTGTTCAAGTTAAGTAAAATAACTTCGAATTTGCCTAAGGCTGAGGTTATTCGTGCTAGTTGAACCCCTCTAGCATGAAAAGAATAATCTAGCACCTCGATGCTCTTTTGAGAGAGTTTTTAAATTCACCTGTTTTGCCATATTCTGTCTTATTGTAGAATGGGTCTAATTTTTCCAGTGAAAGAAAGCTGCAGTTGTGTTTAAAATCATTTCTCCTTTAGAACTAATGCCGAAATTGGGTACATACCTGCAGTGGTCAGAGTCAACACAGCAAAGACGATTTCAAGCATGATGCCGGTTAGCTAGATGCTGCTTGTGCTACTTTGCAAGCGACTTTATATGTTCATATCATTTATCTCTGGGAGATAAGACTAAGTTTAATGCTGCTGTAATATCAATGGAAAACTTGTGTAACTGTGAGATAACTTTTTATATACACAAATGCTTTTAGAAAAAACAGTTTCGGTGAACCTTGAATGCAGGTTCTACCTACAAATGTGGTGAAAATTTCCAGTGGAGGTGGATGTTGTCTGGAGCAGCCGTTTGCTTTCCCATTGCCTTGAATGTTCGTCACAACCATGTAATCAGAAGAAAAATGTTAAAGAAATGATTTTAATGAACTCTGGTGGTCCCTTCCAGCCTATATTGCCATATGATTCTGAACCTGTGATTATTTTAAATTTTATTTCATTTTATTTCATTTGTGAATAGCAACTACCACTTTGTACTGACTGAAAGACTGTCTGCTTTTCTCGATCGGTTCCATGTGTTACAGTATGTGCTTCAGCAAAACAAACTGCAGTCACTTTGGAGAGGAAGCTGTTCCGAGCAATACAAAGAACCAGTTGTCCAGGGGGATGGAGAAGCATGGTGCAGTGTGGTGAGCTCAATTTAATTCTTCACTTTTAATAGTTAGATCAGTAACACTTCCCTGGAAGAGAATGGGGTTCGTGTAGCATTAGAAATGAGTCTTTTCACATCCCAAATCAGCTTGCTGAGCTTTGAAATAATGCAGTGTGTGTGGTTAATGGAAAAGTGGAAGCTGCTTCATTTACAGCAGTAAGACAAATGGTGCAAGAGGCAGGCACGTAGACCAGTACAGAGCAGCTGCCGCAAAAGAAGTTTTTGCAATGCCCTAATTTGTTAGTGGATGTTTGCTGTCAGTCGCAAGGCTTACATTGGGTCTCGACCTTCCTTCTTTCCTTCCACTGCAGGAATCTTCCATCCTCTCTCATGCTGATTATTTTAAACCCCCAAATCTGTATCCTATACATCAGATCATATATAAAGGACAAATTTCTTAGAATGGAAAAACATACTGTTATGCCAGTTTTGAAGCCACATTTGCAGCTTCCTGCTCTATATACAGACACAACGGAAGGTTCCCAAGGAGCTTAAATAAATCTATTTTTTAATGTCACTATTAAGCAGCAAAAGCCTTGGTTTTTAGAGCTTCCATTTAGCAGTAGGTACTGATTTGGATGAAAAATGCCTGGAGCATACATGTGGAAGGCAGAAATATATAATATTATGCAGTTTTGTCTGCTGCTTATGAATGTATTATCCTGCCAAACAATAGTGCTTGAGCAAGCTGCATTCTGAATTTCAAATGGAATCCACTAAACACTGTTCTGACATCTTGTATTTATTATCTGACAAAGGCGGAAGCTGAAAAATTGACTGAGCACAGAAATGGGATTCCAAAGAAAAATTTGTTTCAGGGATTAGCTGACCCCTTCCTTATTGTCTGAGTTCACAAGCAAAATAAATAACTTACTGCACTGTCCAGTTTAAATTTCATGTAGCTTCTACATTCTGTTTTGCTACTAAGGTTTTCACCAAATACTATAAATTTTGGCTGTTCATTTGCTATTTTAATTTTCTTGATTTGAGAGCATGTGAGTGTGTGTGAGTATGCTTGTAAATGAGAATTGTATTTTGTAAGCATTTCTGCAATTATTTCGTAAATATCCTACTGTTCTTTTACAAATCCCAAACTTTTACAAATGTTTTATGTAACAATTGCTTATCCATCTCTTCCAGGTCTAGTCTAATTAGACAAAAATATCTTGGGCTATGAGGACCTCATACTCTTGGCATTTCTGTAAGCATTTCTGCAACATCAAAAAGCTCAACCTCCAGCTGATCCCATGGTAGCCTGGAAGCAGCTCCCTGGAAGCTCTTATCTTCATGCCAGATACAGTACAGAAACTGAGTAGATCCATAAGACTTCAAGAGAAAACAAATGAGGGAAAGCAGGGATTGGGGGCCTAGGGGGGAAGAGAACAGAGATTAAAAAAAAAAAAAGAAAGAAAAAAAGCCCCCAAACAAAAAAAGACAACACTTCAGTAGTCAGACTTGGCTGAAGGTATTTATTTAGAAACAACAGCTTTGGTATTTTAAAACCAACCCATCTTTAAATCACTAGAAAGTGATCACTAGAAAGTGTGATGTCTCCCCAAACAGCCAAAACAAATCAATGCACAAACTCTCAATATGCTCAGAATAGGAAACTCACAGATCATTTACATTTCCAAGCGTAAATACAGAAACAATTTCATTAAACTGATTTTTCATTCTACAATGATAAAGGCTGGAAAACCTGTTACCATCATTTAGATATCTACAGTTCAATTGAACAACCTGTTACTGAAGCGGAGGCAAAATTATTAACATCCTTTCCCTCCCCCCACTCCCCAAGCAATAAATTAAAAAATGTATACCAGAGAGGAAGTTACACTAAGTTTTTCTAGTTAAGTCTCTTAAGGAAATCATCATTCTTTATTTTGCTGTAAAGTTAAAAAAAGAATCAAAATATCAAAGGATCTGATGTATTTCAAGTATTTTTCACCACATGGATTACTCTTAGGGAACTGAACAGCTTACAAGGGAAAAAACATGTCTATTAAACAAGCTCCCGGGATAAACTCCTGAATAACCACATGTTCCGAGTCACAGGTTCCTCTCTTAACAAGGCACAAAAAGGATTGTTGCTTTCAAAAGCCCCTTGTTCTCAGCTGCAGAATTGTCAAGACATCTTGTGCAAATGGAGGCTGAAAGCAGGACTGTTAAGTTCACTCAGACACTGGGATAGTCTCATTTGATTAGTAAAACAAGGTGTTGTATCAATATCACTCATTTTGCTTACTGCTACAGAGGTTTTGAGCTTCAACTGGTTTCCAGTTCATCCCTGTTTCTCAAATCAAGTTCTGCACCAACTTCACTTTAACTGGGTCCAGTTAAGACCAGGAAACATATTTGTTCTTTAGGCACTGCAAGACTTCTAGCAGTGCCAAGAGTGAAGAGGTGCTGTCTGTAGCTGTGAGGCTTCTCAGCAGTTCAGTTAATAGTGTCAGGGATAGCTACCTGCAATAACAGTGAACAAATCATTCTGTAGAAGGCATAAGACAAGTCTCTGAGATGACAAAGGCAACCAAATAGCAGTGGAAAAAAAAGAAAAAGAATGCAACTCATTTAGAATTTTAGGACACAGCTGTACACACAATAACTCAAATACTTCCTGACCACTTCCCCCTTCTGCATTAATGATTTGATCATGATCATAGGCTTATTTCTTTGCCGATTCCTTTGATATGCAATCTCTATCATGTCCTACTTAGCCATAAGGACTTTCAGCTCTCATTTCTTCAGAGGATGGCAAGTATTCAGCCCCCCTTGGGATCAGGTCTCAACTCCAGTGCTCAACCTTACAAAGCCAGTGAGCTGACAGGCCCATTGCCAGCTCATCTTAGACCCAGTACCCTTTGTCCAGCCTTGGCTAGCCAGAATCTAATTTGCTATTACAATTTGGGAAAACAAGATAACAATCTAAAGCCAGAGCTTTTCCTTTGGCAGTTCTATTTAACAGCTTCCAAATTTTCATTTTTTTTAAAGAGTTTTTAAAAAATTACTCTACTAAGGAAAGCTGTCTCTGAACAATGCAGCTAGCTCACACAGCAAATCCAGCCCAGTTTTCCATTTCCATTCCATCTCATCAATATGCAACAGGAAAATACCAGTACTACAAGTAGAACCCACTGTCTCGTTTCTGTTCTGTGCTAACTGTCCCATGCCCAGGCATTACTTCTAAGGCAATTCAATCAAGAATTTCACCTCCCTTATGCAGAAGTGAGATGCAGGGCACTGCAATCTGAACCTCTAATTCTCAGCTAAAACTCAGCCTTTTTCTTAGATCAGCTATGTATTTTGCATTTATTTTAGAAGCATTAGCCCAGCAGTTTTCCAAGTGCTGGTAAATGGAGTAGTAACCTAGACACTGCTCAGTCCTCCTCTCTATGAGCATTTACCCCAGAGCCAATGTCGGTGCCCTGGCTTGCCTAACACAGGCTTGGGTTTGTGTGTTCTCCTATGACCCAGCTCACATTCAAACTAGGCAGACAAGTCTGCACATCCCCCACACAGTAGCTAGGACAAGTACAGAACCCCTGTCACCCTCATTCCTTTTCTGCATAACAAGGAACAGCATTTAGTATCAGGGCTGCAGCTGTTTTCTTAAATACAAGCAAAGTTCTACATGAATGAGTGAGAAAAAGGACAGGAAAGCTGCATCTGCCTTAAACTGCAGCCTTCTGAAGATTTAAGGACTGACAGGGGATTTATTTTTTTTTAATGTTTGTGTGAGCCCTACCACTCCAATCCCTGTCCAAATCCTACTTTTTGCAAAAAGAGGTCACGGATCACGTGTTACAAAAGACAATGAAAATCCTCACAAAGAGAAAACCTCCCTAGGCACAAGATGACATAAAATTAAGTTGATGACAGTGGAGATCAGCCCAAGGCAGCAGCCTTATACCTTACTCCTGAAGAGTGGCTTGGCTCCTGGCCCACAATATTCATTGTATATGAGTTTGAACAGAAATAGGTGAAATAATGTGATTAAGGAGGCCACGCTGAACCAGAACAGGAAGGGTAAGCCTGGGTATTGCTTGGCCATGTGTTCCTCGTGAGCCAGAATAGCTTTTAGATGGAGTGTGTGTCTCAGGTTCTGCAAGTGGACCAAGTCTGTGGATATATAAAGCAGTGGTGTGATGGGTTGAGTCACCATGACAGGGAAGGTACGGCCTCGTGCCTCGGAGGTCAGCTCCACAGGCTCATTCATACAGCCTGCCTCACACGCATACAGTCGAACTGGCTTGTCTTGGAACTTCACAGACACGTGCAAGAAGGGTTTTCCTTCCGAGTCCAGCAGAACAGCCAGGTTAATCAGGTCCTTATTATAATGAATCCCACGTAAGGAGTAGCTGTTATGAAGTACATCAGGGTCAGCTTGAAACTGAAGATGGTTTTCTGTGAACTGCAGACCCCCAAAGCTAAGCACCATCCCCTGCATGAGTCCATGGACCCCAGCTGCCACGAGACCCTTGCATCCCCGTTTCTGGAGAGTCAGCTTCCACAAGTCTGAGAGCTGCAAGATCTGGGGGACACTGGTCACCTTTGCTGGCCACAGGTTCTCTGCGTGCATGGTTGCATGGCCACTGAAGCAGTGGTCTGCATAGTTCAAGCTGGCTTCCATTTTTTCCCTGTCCTCACCACTGATGAGTGGATCTAGCAAGGGAGCTGGCATGGTGGACAGCACATAGTAGAGGGTCATGTTAACAGTCTCACTGGATGGTGTATGCAAATCTGTGATCTTTCTCATTTCAATGCCTATAAGAAAGAAAAACAAAAGCAGGATGACACATGAATATGACTAACTAGGAGAAAAGCGGTCCAGTTGCACATGCTGTGTGATGCTGTTCAGTGCTCCCTGTAGCAGCTTTGTGCAATAAGAGCAGGACAGTCCTTAACTTCCATGGAGAAAGTTCTCCTTTACCCTGTCACTGGAGGTAAGCCTGTTCCCCAAACTGGAGGTGGCTTGCTAGATAAGCCAGTGAAGTCTCTAAAGACTTGAAAGCTTGACACTGAAGCCTCCTTTCCAAAGTGTTTTTAGCTCCATTTAGCTCCTTCATTTCCATCACAAGTGACATGGCTGCCTAGGAGTTCAGCCTGGAATCTCTCAAATAAAATCTGTTTCCTGAAGCTACTTTTCTCCAAGGTGCAGGTGCCCTGTCTCATGCTAAAACAAGCGCTAGTGGCAGATGAAGGGTTCTGATGAGGAATGTTCTCCTCATCCAGCATTTCACTTATGCAATAAGGATGACTTCAGTTACAGAAAGCACTCCAGGGTCTAAGGCAGGAATGCTGGTTTATTATCCCACAGCATCCCTTCTGGCACGGAAACATAGAAGGAAGAGGGAGCCTTTGGAAAGCTCACGGGGACCCAGTTGCTGAGCGCTGATTCGCCCAGTAAAGCAAGTGTATGAAGCTGCACGCCACCTTCCTTACCTGAAATGAACAAATCCGACCAGGTCTGCTGGTGCTCCTGGAAAAGATCTTCCACCCCCATCTGCATCACTTCCAGCATCTCCTTCTTTGTGGCCTCCTTCAGCTTGCTGAAGGTCTCCTCCAGCCGGGAGACCTCGATGGGCTCCGAGGTGTGCACCACAGAGAGCAGGGTCTCATCGAACTGCGACTTGGGTGCCACCTGCACACGGCTCACCAGCTTCTTGGCAGCCACGACCACGAGCACCACCTTGTTGCTGCCGGGCAGCAGCAGGCGGCCGGAGGAGAGCAGGAACTGCCGCTCCTCCACCTTCTCCAGGCTGGTGGCGAAGCGGCCGCCCAGCGAGGGCGTCAGGGCGGGCGCCGAGGCCTCGAAGGCGGCCACGCGCTCGGTGGGGTTGGCGATGCGCAGGCGCTGCAGGTAGAGGTGCGGCCGGCCCCGGTGGGCCACCACCTCCTCGCGCAGCGTCACGCACTCGCTGCCGCCCGCCGGCCCCGCGTGCACGCAGTGC